AAGGCAATCAGAGATGGAGCAATTGATGCTATATTGGATCATGCAAATGGATGGATGCTGTCAAAGGAGACGGGTGACATCTACTCTACAAATGAGCCTCAAATTGCATTCAACTCAAGGATTGCTTTCTGTCTGAATATGCATAATGAGGCAGTACGCGCACTTCGATTTCCTCCAAACTCTCACAAGGAGAAAGAAAGTGCTGAGAAAAGGAGGGAGAGACAACAACAAGAACAAGAACTTGCAAAGCACATCGCAGAGGAGGATGACGATGAGTTCTGAACTTCTGATTTAATCACTTTCAAGAGGCATCACTTAGACCTGGATAATGCCTTCATCAAGATGTGCATTTCTCTTTCCTTGAAACTCTGGGCAAAAATGTTATAATTTTGAACTTGGCTTGCCATAGATATTTATGTTGTTTTAATTCAACTTGGTAGGACCTTATTGGTTCCAAAATTTTATTTGTATCGTTCATTTCTTCACCCATTGAACAGTCGTTTGAGTGCTATCTCATCCTGGTGAGAAACTCATCTTTAGCTTTTTCTGATCAAAGTTTTTCCGTTGCTGATTTTTATTTTATTGGTATTGAATAATGAATTAACCCCATAATTAAAATCTTCACTTGCTTTTACCTGGAGTTTTTATTTTTATCTGAAATAAATTTAAGAGATATCTATTTTTTTGTTAGTTTTTAAATCCTTTTTATTTAAGTGATTAATTATGAGAGATAATATCTAGCGAGTGGTCATCTTTTTCTATTGTCTATCGAAAGTAAAAGTTCTTGAGTTTAAGTCATATAATATGCGGATGGGCTAAAATAAGAAATTAGAGATAGTTACCTTCTATTGTTTAATCAAGAAAAAAAAAAAAAAGTGAGAGATAATTTGTTTGTCTCAAAAAAAAGAATTCATAACTTGCAGGATTCAATCATGGTGTTGAATCTTATTAAGAGATGCAGATTTTACAATAGTTAACTGAGAAAACAACCCAAAATCTGCAGTTTAACCAAAAAGACCAGCAAAACCGAAAACACTTGACTCTACTAGACAGGGGGCCCTGACCTCCTCTCTATCCTAATAGGAAGCTGAAGAACAAGACCACCTAAAACCAAACGTTACATAAAGTGCGTGAGTAAAGGGTCACAACCGAGTTGTTTATTAATAAAATAACACCAAACCTGGGACTTAGTCATGGAAGATTAGATATGGAAGATTAGATCCCTGACACAACAGAACATCAAAGCAAAATAGCTGGTCTTTTTGTAACCATGGCTAATTAAAGCTGAAGTATAATCTGGGTAACAGTGTCCACTGCTTCTGAGATAAGAAGCATGTCTTCAGAATGCTGGCGGAGCGCTGACTTCAACAGATCGATCTCGAGTTTGAGGTCCTCCATTGCAGCGACCATTCCCGCCGTTTCCTCTCTCACGCGGGTTATCTCCGCCTTGGCAGCAGCAGCTTTGGCTTTTATCCTCCTTAGAGTCCTCTTTTGAACAAAATTGATGAAATAGATCAATATATAAGTACATTAACGGAGCCTTGTGGTAAAGAATGAAATAGGTAGGATTTGTTGAGAAAACAGAGACAGTTACCTTAAGCTTGCGGCTGCGCCTTAATCTTCCACTATGGGTCTCCCTTGTTCCCTCCATTACAACTTCTCCTTGTGTCTCTGTGATAATCTCAATTAGGTTGTATATATATATAGAGACGAGGCGGTCTCCACAAATTAAAATATGGATCGGTTATATTGCTTGATTGCTTGGGAGTCTGCAGCAGCCAGAATTGGGAATGGATGGATTTTAGTTAAAAGACCTCCTTTTTCAGTCTTTGAGTGGATCAGAGTGGTTGATGACCATTTACTCACTCAGGGAGAGAATGAATTGGTGGCTTCCCCTATATATATGACCACCCCAACAGGTCATTCCACGTGGTTTTTTCTTCAGCTTTGTAACGAGAAGTCGATTTTCACTCGAGTCCTCAGAAGAAACCAAAGATCAGGCAGTAATCATCCAAACTCCTGGGTAGGTATATAAATAAAAATTTCAGAATTAAAATTAAAAAAAAGTGAGTTGGTGGCTTCCCCTATATACAGGCCACCCCCCACGTCATTCCACGTGGTTTTTTCTTGAGTTTTGTAACGAGAAGTCGATTTTCACTTGAGTCCTCAGAAGAAACCAAAGATCAGGCAGTAATCATCCAAACTCCTGGGAAAGTATATAAATAAAAATTTCAGAATTAAAATTAAAAAAAGTTTTTTTAAAGATAAATTATATATTAAAATTATAATTTATTTTATAAATTTATTTAATAAAATTATTTTTATTTTATTTTATTAAAAATATTTAAATAAATTTATAAATTAAATTATACTTTTGAATATATAGCTTACCTTTTAAAACTTTTATCTCTTAAAATTATGAATCTCTTATTTTATATTAAGGGGTTGGTGTTTATTTGTCTTACCTCCAAAAATTTAGGAGGAAAAAGGATAAAAATCACCTTAATGCATATTTTAAAAATAAGATAGTTTAGTTTTTTTCAATAAAAAAATTATTGAAACGACGTAATTTTAGAATGATTTTTTTTCCTAATCTTTAAAAAATAAGGCTGACAGAAACTTTTTCCTTATATTAATTAGTTTGAATAATAAAAGTACAATCTTATTAATGTTACTTTTGGGATAATAAAAAAGACAAAAACCATTTTTCTCTCACAGTTACTTTTAAATGTACCATGAACGTATTATTTCTTGATTTAAATTTGCTCCTCTAATCTAATTAAACTATGTGAATAAGTCATTGTATCTTTTTTATACAAAAATTAAAGATTAAATTCTAAATTTGTTGCTACCAACACAAATAAGTGAATAACTCTTTCTTATCAACATAAAATTTACCTTTTACCGTGGGACGGTGGGAGGGTGATGAGGCAGTACGCGCACTTCGATTTCCTCCAAACTCTCACAAGGAGAAAGAAAATGCTGAGAAAAGGAGGAAGAGACAACAACAACAACAAGAATTAGCTAAGCACATCGCAGAGGAGGATGACGATGAGTTCTGATTTAATCACTTTCAAAAGGCATCGCCTATACCTGCATAATTAATGCCTTCATTAACATG